GCGCTCACTTCAGCAGCAGACAGATATACGGGGTGGGAACCTTTTACTGACCCGACTAGGAGAGCGTTCAAGGGTGCCTGATGTTGAGCTGCGTGGGGGATGAACCTGCGGTAAAAATTCACCATGCCAAGAAACCTACGTAACTCTCTAACAGTTTTGGGGACGGGAAAGCTCTTAATAGCCGTCACCCTGTCTAGTGGTGGTTTGACACCTGCAGCAGACACGTGATAGCCCAGGAAAGTAACCTCAGAGGCGCCGAACGTACATTTAGTAGTGTTGATGACCATACCGTACTGTTTCAACCGGTGGAACACTTGGCGAAGGTGGTCTTCGTGGGTCTTCTGGTCTTTTGAGTAGACCAAGATATTGTCAACGTACGCGTAGGTGAAGTCGAGCCCTCGCAGCATTTCATCGACGAAGCGCTGAAACGTCTGTCCGGCATTACGAAGTCCGAATGTCATATACGGAAATTCGTATAAGCCGAACGGCGTTGTGATAGCGGTCTTCTCGATATCGCTGGGGTTTATGGGAACCTGATTATAGGCCTTCACTAGGTCCAGGGTTGAAAAGACCGTGCAACCAGAGAGGTTGTAATCAAAGTCCTGGATATGTCGGATGGAGTACCTGTCCGGGATGGTTCTGGCGTTCAGCATCCGGTAGTCACCGCATGGTCGCCAGCCGTCGCCTTTCTTCGGTGCCAGGTGTAGAGGAGAAGACCACGCAGACTCTGAAGGACGACAGGTGCCAATCTGCAACATGGCCTCGAACTCGGCCTTAGCAATTTTAAGCCGATCAGGTGCCAATCGACGAGGTGAGCAAGCTACAGGCGGTCCAGGTGTTGTGCGTATGTGGTGTACGGTGTTGTGTTTTGTGGTGTTATGCAAGCCAGAAGGGCGAGTGATGTCGGGATACTCAGCTAGTATGCGATGATAATTAGTATCACCAGATGCTACCTTGACGGAAAAAATGTCAGGTGTTTTAGCGAGCAAAGCCGAGGTGCAAAGCGTAGTATTAGCATCTACTAAGCGTTTATTCCGAACGTCAACAATTAAATTATAATGGGACAAGAAATCAACCCCTATTATGGCCCGCGTTACGTCTGCAATAATAAATCGCCAAGCATAGTCACGGCGCAAGCCTATGTTCAAAACAAAATTTGCGTAACCGTACGTATTTATTATTGAACCATTTGCTGCGCAAAGTTCAAAATTGGTTTTGTGACTATGCTTGCTGACTAATTTTCTGGGGAAAACACAAATATCACTGCCAGTATCAACTAAAAATTGTACTTTAGTACGAACGTCCGTTACAAATAAGCGACCGGTATTTGGACAGGCGTCGGTCGCACTAACCGTCTGCCCTATGCTTTTCCCGAAAAATCACAGGGTTTCACGCACTTACTTGCCTTACTCCCAAATTTGGCATGATACCAGCATAACGGAAATTTCCTATAGTTCGACTGGGAGCGGGTAGACCGAGAATTTTCACGGGATCGGCTATTCACGGTAAATCTTCCTCGAGACCGGGGCCGTGACATCCTCTCGACCTTGGACTGCAGCGACTGGACCTGCCGTGTGAGTTCCGCAATTTGGCTGGACAGCTCGGTGGAACTTCCTGGCCGAACCGATGCGACTGCGACTTGGGGATTGGGTGGGACGATGTCGTGCACTCTGTCCGCCAGCTCCGCTACTTCTTCCAGGGACGCCTTTGATTGTGACGCAATAATGGATTGCGTGCTGCTGGGTAATCGACTCGTCCAGATGGTCTTCAGAAATTCCTCTGGGACATCAGGGCCTGCTAGGTGTTGGAGGTGGCGAAGGAATTGGGAAGGTTTCCTGTCACCAAGTTCCTCGTGAACTAGGAGCTGCTTCACCTTTTTCTCTCTCGACGCAGACAATCGTTTGATCAGCTCCGCTTTTAGACGCTCATATTTGTTGGGTCCTGCCGGTGCCGATATTATGTCTTCCACCTCTGACGCGTAGACCGGATCCAGCTGGCTGATCGCGTAGTGGAATTTCGTGTTGTCGGTGGTTATATTGGCCAGATAAAATTGGCTCTCGAGTTGTGCAAACCACAACGCCGGTTTTTCTGGGTAAAATGGAGGTACTCTTACACTCACTTGATTCACGTCGCTCGTTCGATTCAAATTTACGCCAACGGTCGTGTTCTCCGAATCACTCATGATTGTGCTCAATAGGTGTCACCAGTTATAGGATGATGCGTGAGTTTTCAGGTGTTGTAAAATGAGTGCAACAAAGTTCACAATACTCACGGTTTATTGTTTACACAATATGATCCTCATAAACATATATAAGCACTTGATGCAGTTGTAGAAGGTGCACAATGAGTTAGCACGGAGACAAAATACAGCGCAATAATTAAGTATTAGCTTAACGTTAAACAAGCTGATGTCGAGATCGTTAGGTATAGTGAGAGAACAAGCGACAAGCATACAAAGCAGAGGCTAAGATCTGACTGCCGCGGCCGCGCAGGAACAAGTGGTGCGGAGGCCCCGCCCACTGAGACCGGTTACGTTCAAGCGGCCGTGGCCTGCGTCCGCGCAGAAGAGTATCTATGCGCAAGCAAAATATGACTGTCCGCTTGTCTACTAAAATATATATTTTACATTACAATATTATGTTTACCATATTTTAACATAATATTTTATTATTTAAATTTAATTATATAGTTTATAAGGCAATACAATATATATATTAATGTAAACATAAATAACACAAAATTAACACAAAAACAAATATTTTAATTTTACAAAATATAAATTATATTATGTAGGCACACTACACTATATTCCTCATTCCAATCTCATCAGTAAGAGCACGCGTAACCTCTGGTTCAATCACGACTATGCTGAAGTTGCTTCACGTAAGCAAGCAGCATATCGTGCTTGGATCAGAGGCCGCGCTCTTAAGGATTCCGGGGTCGATTCAATACTGCTTCCAAGGCCTGTAAGAAGGCATACATCAGAGCGGATGTGTTGGTCACGAACTTGTAACGCATCCTACGGGCTCCCGTAGCTATTGGCGTTTGGCCAAGGCCGTGCAAAAGAACTTGCGGCAGACTCCCGAATCGATGATTGCAATGCACTGCCACCATTATTACCTCATTGTGGCACAACGATGCCTGATATCAAAATCACGTAGCGTGAGGTTCTTGCCGAATTGCAGTCACTCGACATCCAGAAAGCTAGTGGACCTGATGGCATCCCAGCAGTAGTACTGAAAAAATGTACAGCGGAGTTGTCTCCCGTGGCGTGTGCCGGAGACTTGGAGAGACGCTAACGTGCAACCGGTACCCAAAAAGGGGATCGCTCAGACCCGGCAAACAACCGGCCAATAGCTCAGTATTATGTAAAGTCCTAGAAAACGTCCTTAACAACTATCTGACCCGCTACCTAGAGGATCACTCCCTGATTAATGATCGTCAATATGGTTTTAGACCGAAACGATCGACGGGTGATCTTCTAGCGTAGACAGGGTCTGGCACAAAAGCCTTCTCTCCAAGCTTTCGGCATACGGTCTGCCGGCGAAAGTTCTGTTCTTGGGTAGCTGACTTCCTGCATGAGCGTAGAATTCGTGTCCTTACGGATGGTAGCGGTTCATGTCAGTGAATGCCGGCGTTCCCCAGGGCTCCGTCCTATCCCCCACTCTCTTTCTGCTGCATATCAATGACTTAATTCCTTTTGGGAATATTCATTGTTATGCAGACGATAGTACAGTGCATGCGTTGTATCTCGGACAAGCAGCGGCTGGACAGGCGGTAGCCAAGGAGAAACGGGAGAATCTTGTCATTGAGCTCAATCAAACTTTGGACCACATTTCTGAATGGGATACCAAGAACTTGGTTGAGTTCAATGCTAAGAAAACCCAGGTCTACGCTTTCACGGCAAAAACGTCGCCATTCCTTTTATGTCCAAATTCAAAAAATTACATCGAAAGTGTGATAAAAACAGCCTCACGCAAACTCTGAGTCCTGAACAAGGTGCGGAGTTTTTTCTGTGACTGGTGACTCATTTCTGTGTCGTACTATCCGTTAATGGAATGCTCTGCCCGCTCACGTGTTCCCTCCCTCTGACAACCTCTTCTCCTTTAAAATTGGATTGGATCCTTTAAAAGAAGCGTGAAGAAGCAACACGCAGGCCGGCAGGGTGAGGATGGCTGGTGTGGCAGGTAGAACTGCTATATCAGCTATCTTCGCGTCTGGACTTCACCTCCACTTAACATTGTCATTGTGTGGAGTGGTGGTGAAGTCATTAGTCAGAACTATCTATAAAAAAAATCATACAATAGAGATAGATTCGCTATTGTATGACATAGTTATCATTTATAATTAATATAACAATTAAAACAGTTATAAGTAACTGATTTTTAATCACAAGAAATATTCAAACTGCCTTCTTCAACTTGCACAATCTACAACGACTTAAAAAAATCTGCTTCCGTCTCCTAAAACTATGAGTATTTTGTGTACGAACTATGAGTTTTTATTTGCGGCCTGTCTTAATTTTTCACACAGCTCTGCTGCCGTATTAGTTTCGCTAGTGTACACCATTTCTTTATAATATCCTCTAACAATAAAGTTAATGGATGATTAAGACTTGGTGAATGTGCAGGCCAATGAATCAGACGTCACCTTTTGCTACCCTGTATAAAAAAAAATGATTTACTAGTAAGTGTGGGATTTTTGATTTCTTTTTGTTAAATGCACTAATTGGTTACAAATCTATACATAACTATTTAACAGTTTATTCAAAGAACTTGGTAATGCAGTAAATGCATTTATCTCTCCTTAATAAAGGTAGTTGGACTAAGACACACGCAGATTTTATATAAAGTTTCAATTATACTGAATTTATTGGTAAAGCTGTTTGATTACTTGGGGCTAGCAAAACAATACAATATTCACTATAGTATAATCTACTATGATTTTAGACATAAATAGGTATCAAGTAATATTAGTATGTAATAATTAAATCTTTTTACCTTATCAAACGAATCATATTTGGCAATAGATGGAGTCTGATTTTGGTCTATTTCTGTTAAAGAACCGGATTAACTGGATTGAGATGACACCTGAAACATGAGTGATAAGTATAATCATTTGATGATAATGTTACTTATCATTGTATCATCTCCATTAACTACGAGATTATACTTATAATCTCGTAGTTAATTAAAAATAAAAATATAATATCAAAAGGTACATAATATTTGAGAATTTTAAATTGTATTATTGATATTGCCCTACAATTGACATTTTCTTGAAATGAAAACATCGATATGAAAAATCGATCATCAATCTGGAAGGGCGACTCTATCGGCAAAAGAACTGTTTTAAACATTGATAAAATACACTATCAAAACCCACTGAAATACGTAGTAAATGGTAAATTCTGCATGAATTATTCACAAACAACAGACGTGCACAACCTATGTACCTGGTCACAGGAGGAACTCAAAATGGCGACTGGCTGCAACTAGGCATTTCAACGAGGTCACTTTATAATGTTGCCGTTATTAGTTCAGGCAAAAATAATGTTGTCTCTTTTCTCGTGGAGTATTGTAGGGTGACTGATCCAATTATCAGCACTTTAAGAGTTAGTCCAAACTTAAGCCCGTTTATCACATTGAAAAATGTTGTTTCACCCGTTATGACGAGTTTTCTAGTTTCAATATTCAATCAGTAAGATGATTATTTAAAAAATATTTTTTATATTTAGGTATCCATTTTTTTTAGATGGGCAAGAGTAAATAATGACCATCTTACCATTTAATAGCACCATCACCACCATTTAATAGCATAGAGTGAGTCAATTAACAGCACTATGATAGTGGTATTGAAATTATATGAAATAAAAAATGTTATTAGTACCTATAATCTCTTTAATTGACTTATTTTAATATAGGTGGGTAATGTGTGACTAAGGATCAAAAAAAATATTTGACTATAATCTAATTGTATTTATAAACTTAACAAAGTTTCGTACTATTATCATGTATTATGATAATGTCTCTTGTGTTTTGTTAGCTTTTATCTCTTTTATTTTGTTTTCATTTGTCACTTGTAGCTTTTTTTCTATTGTATCTTGTATTTTATTTTCTATTGTCCCTTTTATTGTATTGTCTTTTTTCTCCTGTATTTTATTAGCTTTTTTTCTCTTGTTTTTTAGTAGCGGTTTCTACTTTTGCGTTATTTTTTCGTGTTGTTCAGTAATCTGTTTTTCTTATGAGTCGCCTGTTCTTCTTCTTTAGGTTGTTTAGTTTTTAATTTGTTGTTTTCAGTCTTTTTCCATTCAGCTGAAGTAAGAACAAATGATGATCTCTCTACATTTTTAACACCTTTTCGTTCAGGCGTTTTTTCCGTAACCAATACGTCCTGTAATTTTACTGCAGTTAGTAAATATTGTTTAATCTGACTGGAGTTGGTAAATATTGTTGACTATCAAGACATAAGAATTGCGCACTTCCAAGACAATATTCAGTATAATGAACCATCAGATGGTTCGTTAGTGGTTGCAGAGATCATAGCTTGCATTTCATCTACAAAATCTTATGCTAATATTACTGGAAATTGATCAATTTTGAGAAATTTGATAACAGCTTCCTGGGACGTGGAAGTTGTGGACGCATCAGTTTGATCGTCGAAATAACAACAAATCTTCTTTAAAATCCTTTCTGTTTCTATTAGACTCTCAAGCGGCGTTCTTTGCAGAAATGTAGGTACATTTTTCTTGCCCTACAATCTTTTCTAAAGTTTCACGTGTCATAACTCTATCTTCATTACAATCTTCTTGTAATTTTTATTTGTCTTGTTTTGGTTCTTTATCATGTTTATTTCCTTTACCCAGACATTTTTTTGTAGTTGATGGCTTCAAAGTTACAGGGACATAAGCCAATAGTCCTGAATCCATTTATCACTGTTGTATCTTTGACGCCAACCTCTAAAGCCTCTATAAGACCAGGTACAAAATCATTCTTTGTGAGAGTCTCCAAAGGGTAATCTCTCCTCCATTTTACTTTCCTTCCATGCATTTTTGAGAGGTCTAAAAGCTGACATGTGTCTGGCTTTAGAGCAATCAAAATAATGTCCAACTTGCTGCACAATTTATTCACTTCAAGACTAAGATGTGTTTTGTGTCCATCTACAAATAGTATGATGTGAAATGAATGAAATACATTCTTGATATAATCATAGAAAAAATCACATTTCATCTAGCCAGTACAGCTTAAAGCAATGCCCCTCTCATTTGGGACTGATGATTTTTTATCATTGGGAAACCTCTTGTTGGGAAACAGAACTAGTGGAGGTGTAATATCTCCGTTGGCGCAAAACGTAAACAGTACAATAAAGACAGTTTTGGCTGCAGCGTGATCAACTTCATATACGTCTCTTTCTCCTCGTAATGAAATGATTTTGCCACTCTTAGGATATAACTGAAAGTTAGATTCGTCCCCATTAAAAACACGAGACGGGTTCTGGTAGATGTTAAAGTAGTTGTTTTCCTTAGGACAAAACTCAAAATTGTGGAACCACCTTTTTGTGTCTTCTTCTGATACATTAGCACTGACTGATATTACAGTTTCGGCAATGCGTTCGCTGAGTTCTGGATGACGGCACATAAAAAGGTCATACCATTTTCTACCAGATATGGCATCCTTTAAGGGGTCTCTAAATCTCTTTCTGTCTTCTTTAAGAAACTTGCTACACTCAATTGTAAATCAGTCTTTTGTTTGGGAATCCTTTCCGACAGCAATCTAAAACCCACTTTTACTAAAACTTCCTCTTCATCGTTCGACAATAGTGGATCAGGGTCTGGTAGCTTCTTGCATGGCTTTCTTAATCGCGACTGGATAGTTTATCTAGGTTTATTGAAGGTTTTCGAGGCCAGTTTTTTGGACATACCCTATTCTAATGCATCTAAGTCTTTTAATAGATTTTCGTAAGAGTTTTTTTTTTCTTTTATTTGGCATATTTACTTCCTTTGATTTCATGGTAGGTGGGTCTGAAAAAATTAAAAATAATGAAATGCTAGGAGAACCAAATTATCAGCATGCTTTTGATCCAATTATTAGCACTATGCTGACAAATAGCAAATGTAATTTCAGCACTATGCTAAGATTTGGATTCCGAAGGCATAAACTACTTTTACGAAAAAAAATGAATTTTATGCATCAAATAAGCACGGTTTACAATTAAAAATATGGTATAAGTATTTACGTACTATTTTCCATTTATCAGCACCAGTGCTGATAATTTGGAATTCGCAAAATATTAGACCCATATATTAGCACCACATTTTTTAACAATATGTCATTATAACCTCAAATTATTCTTTTCAAACTATCCTGATAAACTATCTAAGAAATCACATAAATCAAAAGTATTAATATAAAATATTTAAAAGATCTATTAAAGCATTAAATGTAAACACGTGAACTTACCTTCGATCTCTAAGAACAGGCAAAAATAAGACGAACTGCCGGACACAAACGTATTTTTACATTTTTTTTGCCATTTTGAAGTCAGAAAGTATGGTATTGCCAGTGGTAGGATTTCAAAAACAACAATTTATTTATTTTTTAAAGTGGTAACCCAAATCAGTTAGTGAAAACCTTATTATTTTACTATTTATTCAGAGTGCTGATTATTTGGTGCAGTGCTAGCATTTGGATCAGTCACCCTAGTTTAGTTAAAATGAGATGACTTCAAGTTTATGAGTACAATGGTGTCGATTCTGGCATAATTCTCTAAACTTAAAACTAAATTTTACATCAATCTCCCCTTTTCATTCCGTAAAGAGAATGACAAGGATACATTGTTGCCAAATTTAAGTTTGAGTTTAGATAATCGTGTCAAAATTGACACCAATGTCGATATCAATCATATTTGTCTAACAGATTGTTCATATAGAATACTATGGCATCTCCGTAGGTTTATGAACTCGGAGGTTTCTCTTTTTTCTGTATTTTTGTAGATATTTGTCTATGGTAAAACTAAAATGTCAATCAAATTAAAAACTGAACTCGTCTGCGACAATTTCTTGTTGGTTCCTAAAATATTTTCACTTTTCTTTTTTAAACTTACATTATTCTTTAAATATTAAATGTAGTTAATCATCTAAATTCCTATGTGATTTGTTCAAAGTGCCAAATTGATGTTTCCACTGTGTTGGTATTATGAATCAGGTTGATCAAAATATAAACAAAGATATGATTGAATCTGATCTGATCGACGTGGAATCTTTGGATTATTCCGATGATCAGACGTGGTGAGTACAAAGAATTCCATTCAAACTACAAACTTGAGTTTAGTATCCTGAGCATATACATTTTTAGGTCATATGTCGCCAACACTGGACTTGTCAGTTTTTTTTCTCCGTGATGGGTAACTTGTTCTAATTCATCAATAGGTTCTTAATTCCAGTATTTTTGTGCGTACGGTAGGACTTAATTTATAATAGAGTTGATAAACTCTTATAAATTATATAAAGGAGACATTAAAAATTTCTAGGATTATTTTGCTTTTAGTTGCTTGTGATTTGTAACTTCGTCCAAACCAAATGTTTGTCAACCTTTAGGGAATACCCCTTCACATGCATATTTTCATAAAAAAATTGGCTGGCTGTATGATTTTATAAAAGAACTGGCTATATGATCAGTTCAGACAGATAGCTGTTATCAAAGTTGTAAAACTTTTCATTATTATTTTGATATTGCTGATAATGATTATGTACTGTGCTATTGTATGGTAATTGTAATTAATATAGCATGACTTATAACTGAATATACTGGGATTATAATAATAATATTTATTCAAAACAACCGCTAAATTACTCACCAAACCACCATCTTGCAGACGGATCGTATGTTATGTAGAAGATGTGAAATATTTTGTATTCTGATTCATTGAAAACATTGCGATTTCAAAACAATGTTAAGTGCACATGTTACCAACCAAATAAATATTATTCAATAAATATGATAATAATAAGCAACCACACCACACCCTTAAAGTGTAGCAGCAGCTGTGTTAAAATAAACTCTTGAAGGTGAACAAACTATGAGAAGAGCCATTATATAACACTTTAGTTGTATATTATTACCAGCAATTTATTTGGAACAAATACAAACTATATCTAACCATGATCATTAATAACTGCCACAATTTAAAAAACTGTGTTGCAGCATTAACACCCATTCCCATACAAATTGAAAACAGTATTCCTACCAGTTTTATAATATAATAAAACTGTAATTGCATTTATAATAATAATTTATTTATACCAAATACATATAAAGTACAAAGTTTATAGCTATTTAAATTTTGGGACAAATGCAATGGAATTTATTTTATAAATTTTACATAGGCAGTAGGAGTAGAATGAAAAACACAACTGACCCTAGCTAGGCTATGAACATAGCCTGTGTTTAGGGATTTAGTCCCTTCCAATATATTCCTTAATATGACCCAGTTTCAATTCATCTTTAAGTATTTAAATTTTATTCATCATTAATAAATTAAATATCAGTTATGTTTATTCTTCTTCTTTGTCTTCACCTCAATTATTTTGTTCCAGGCTGTATACTGTACCCAATGACTCTGGTGACAAAGTGGATATTGTAGATTTATCTTGTGACTGGCCAATTGATGAAGATGATGAGTACCAACAGTTGGAAAAGAAACTTAATGGTATACTCGATAATATACTCAAAAGTAAGTACTTTACTATTTTGTGACTTGTTTATATGAATCCCAAATGTAATATAAACCACTGCATTCATTAATTTTGCAGTTCAATTTTAAACTCTTGTAGGTGAACAAACTATGAGAAGAGCCATAATAACACTTTAGTTGTATATTAATACCAGTAATTTATTTGGAACAAATACAAACTATATCTAACCATGATCATTAATAACTGCCACAATTTAAAGAATTGTGTTGCAGCATTAACATCCATTCCCATACAAATTGAAAGCAGTATTCCTACCAGTTTTATAATATAATAAAACTGTAATTGCATGTATAAACAAAAGAGGAAAGGACTTAAATTAAAACATTTTAATAAAATGCTTATATATTCCAACAGTTTCAAAGGTTCATTATAAAAAGTTGTAAAAGTAGGGTGTCCATGAGAAAGGGTGGTAAGATAAGAAACTGAATTCCCATCCCAAGGGCCTCATCCAAATCAATCCCAAATGATTATCATGTTAACTATTTAGATTGGAGTAGGCAAGCATCCACTTGCACATAAATCAAGTGTTTTCAAAGTTGCGAATATTTACTCAATCTATATCTTCAACTAATAAAAAGATGCCAAGCCATCAGTCATCCAATTTTTTATAAATAGAAGGGCGGGATTTCATATATTGTAATTAATTAATAAAACAGATTTCTAGAAAACTATAGAAGAAGGTATTTTAATGATATATCTAATAATGAGATTTATAAGAAATTTCTATAAAATATTTTTAAAATAAAGATTGTTTTGCTTTTCGTTAACCACTCATAACACCCATAACACCAATTGCAAAGGCTTGTAATACCTCTTATGCACTATAATTAGCATTACATTAGATATTATAGTACGAAAGTTCCTAAAAATTGGATAACAGACGATCCATTTCAATATTACCCTAGTCTGTGTAAATGACAGATTCCTGACTATATCAAAAGCCACTGTCTATGGAGATGGCAGGTTTCTGCCACTAGTTGAGATAACTATTTTCATTTTTCATATTTTGCATTTTATCATATTTAGTTATGGTTTTTAATTCACACATCTAATATATAAGTGTGTAGAGAAACTATTCAGGATTGATTTAAGACTTAAATGATGCCTGTAAATGTACAGGAGAACTTGAATAATAAGAGGAAAATCTGGAAAAAAAACAGATGTGAAAAACAAAAAGGAGGGAGAACACAGCTAGGGTTTTAAGCACTATATTGCTAACACATTTTACGGGTTTTTCAATTGAAGTGGTTTTATTATCTTATATATAAAATTCTTGTGTCACAATGTTAGTTACCATACTCCTCCAAAACGGCCTGACCGATTTTTATGAAATATTTATGCATATTCTGTGGGTCTGAAAATCGGCTACTATCAATTTTTCATATCCTTAAGTGATAATGGTTTTCCACCTGTAACATAGTATTCTGAAACCTACAATGCCCCTTGATAGAATTGACAGAAGACTACATTACACACCTCTAAAATTTTTTTTTGGACAATGTTTATTTTTTTATAGTGTGGTATTAAAAAATACATACAACCCTAAATTTTCTCTTCTACCACCTGCCCCTATTTTTATGGCGGTACGGAGTTCGCTGGGTCAGCTAGTTTTTATCTAAAATCACAGTTTTTCTTTCGTACAAATGAATGAACTAGATTGTATAGGCAAAACACCCATTACATCTTATTTGTAAAACAGTTTATCATAATAAATAAATCTTTTTTTAATTTTAGTAAAATTATAGCTTAGTAAAAAAAAAGATATGGTTGGTGTTTTAAAAATAAAAAAACTCATGTTTTCTTCAATACCACTGCTTAATTATCTTTTCATCCCACCACCTCGGAAAGTGTAATTTTGCGCTTCGAAATCTGGCTGGAAAATTCTATTTTATTCGCTTGAGCGGCAAAGTAGATTTGAATTTAGAACATCACATATAATGAGTACTCAATATAATTGTAAATTCAAAACGTCATTAAACCTATTTAATGTAACCTCTATGGTGCCAAATTTATGATTAGAACTTTTTAAATTGTGAAAAAATTTAAATTTGGAACCTTCTTGGTTTCTTTGTTTTATTTGCGTGCTTCGCGCCATTCTAGTTTTTCACGTTTTATTGCTTAATATAATTAACATAACCTAAAAACTGTACAAAAAAATCAACTAAAATGAGTGACATTAGCGACGATGAAGTTTATCTAACGCCAACTGAGTTAACTGAAACAGTTAATAATGCGCAAATGAGCCTTCTCCCTCAGCAATCACGAGAGAAGTATTTGAAACAGTACGATATATTTAACATGTGGCGACTAGCTAAAGGAGCAAAAACTTTCTCCGAAAACGTTTTGCTGGCATATTTTATAGAATTATCTGAGACCAAGAAAGCAAGCACGCTATGGAGTACGTATTCAATGCTAAAATTAACAATTAAGATGAAGAAAGACGTTCATATCGACACCTATCATAAATTAGTGGCATTTTTAAAAAGAGCCTCATCTGGTTATAAACCAAAAAAATCGAAGGTTTTCACAGCATCTGAAATTGCAAAGTTTATTAATGAAGCACCTGATTCCGTATATTTAGCGGCAAAAGTAAGTCAATACGTGTAATTTTTTGTTGTTGATAAAATTGTACATAGTACTTACAATATTTTTAATTTGATTAATTTATTTACGATTATAAATACTTCTTTTGTTACAGGTTGTTCTTATTATTGGTATAACCGGAGCATGTCGAACAAATGAACTTACACTACTTAATGTCAATAACGTATCAAAATATTCTCATAATTCTGATGAATTGCTATTAATTAATGTACTAAATACCAAGACAAAAAAAGACCGCAACTTCGTTATTCGCAAGGAATATGTAAACATTGTTCAGAAATATCAAGCTTTACGTCCTTCTAACACCCCAATTGAACGATTTTTTCTACAATATCGCAACGGAAAGTGTATCCGACAACCTATGGGTCAGAATAAAATTGGCAGTATTCCACGAGAAATAGCAACTTTTCTCGGACTTTTAGAACCCCCGTTATACACCGGTCACTGTTTTAGAAGAACCTCAGCCACACTTTTGGCCGAATCAGGGGCTGATCTTCTATCGCTTAAGCGCCATGGAGGCTGGAAGTCTAATTCGGTTGTAGAGGGATACATAGAGGATTCAATCCAAAGTAAATCAAAAATTTGTAATAGTATCGTGGAGGCCATAACGCTGAAAGAACCTCTGTCAGATTCTTGGTCTCGCCCTTCTACATCTAAAATGAGCCCCCATAAGATTGGAAACAATAGCCCTCTCTCGCCAACATTTACGCCAATAGAATCCAATGAATCGGCACAACTATTTAAAATTACTGATACGAGTAGTTTACCACAAAACAGCGCACAATTCACAAACACCAACATAACATTACCTAACAAAAATATTAAACTTAACATAAGTAACTGTAGCAACGTTACATTTAATATTTCTTAATTATTTTCTACTTCTTATTATTTTCTTCAATTTATAGATTATCTTAATGTGTTTTAATTGAAATAAAAATATTTTGTCATTATAAATTGTTTTCTTTTTCATTTTGTCATTTCCTCGCTGAGGTGGGATGAAAAGTTACGTATTGCACTCGAGTGGAAAGATTTTTCACCTTGTGCTCGTTTGTTTCCCTCGCTGACGCTCAGGATTCTAATTTAGAATCACTCGCTGCGCTCGTGATTCAACTTTAGAATCCTTCGCTTGCTCGGTCATCCAAATCGAGCACGCGGTTAAAAAGGAACTTTCCACTCTTGTATAATAAATAACTATTTTGTGTGCGACCTGTTACACCAGTTAGGGGCTGTTCAAGTTATACGTAAGCACTATAGGGGGGCAGGGGGGTCTTTGCTTTGCTTATTTTTGATGACATGGGGGGGTGGGGGGTAGAGATGGTGATTACGTCACCATCATCGATTAAGCCTTTTTAAGTACTGCTGCTCATGAAGCTCATGAAAGCTCATGGATCAATAAAAAAAAACAGAATACATTAAAGGAAAAATGCATTTAGGTCCCAATATTTACGTAAGGATGGGGGGAGGGGTAAGAGCTTTGCTTACTTTTGCTGACGAGGGGGAGGAGGGGGTAAATAATTGTAATAAATCTGCTTACGTAATACTTGAACGGCCCCTTACATGAAATGACCCTATTACATTCTTATGGATTCCCATGGCAAGCTAAATACATGGGATTATTTTTAAAGGTTATTTCATTTGAATTAGAGTGACTCAGTGATGAAACTTTAGATGTTAATAACTTCTCTGTTTCCTTCATATGCAATATTCTTAGGCCCGTATTATAGAAAGATTCTCAGTGATTGATCTAGTCTTGAGCATAGTTAGAAAAGGATGCAGTGGCGTAGCATGGGGGGGGCGGGGGTGCGGTCCGAACCGGGCGGCACATTGCCGGGGGCGGCGCTGCGGAGGTGGCAGATAGAGAAAAAAAAATAAAATATAAAAAAAAGTTAATTTCTTTCAGTTTTTTTTCGTCATTTTTTTGTTGTTGTTACCAAATACCCATACATAGGTTAGTGTTATTCAATAAAAGTACTCTTTTTACCATGCCTCAATTTTTTTATAATGGATTGCAAAAATAAGAGGGCGGCAAATTTGGAATCCGCACCGGGTGCTAGTGACCTATGCTACGCCACTGAAAGGATGTCTCTATATCTAGCACATAGTGACATCCCTTTCTAACTGTACTCAAGTAAAGATCTACACTTATTTGTCATTCTGTAATACGGGCCTTAATCATTGCAGAGAAATATGGCAAAGTTAGAAATTATCAAAACAACAGATTAATTTTCCCATATTTGTCCCCAATAGAGGAGCTTGATGGCTCAAGTGGTTAGCGCGTTCAGCTTGCGATTGTTGAAGTTAGCAACTTTCGCAGTGATCGGTTATTGACCAAAATTTACTGTCTCGAGCTCCTTCGTGCTTCGGAAGGCAC